ATTCAAAGAGAGAAAACAAAAGCATGATCTTGATCTGGAAACCAAGATGCCTAAATGCATGGCAAATGCCTCCTTTTATAGGCCAAAATTGGGAACTATTGATTTGATGACTAATTGATGAGTGGATGACCAACTATAAATTAAAGGTATCTTATATTATTAGATATGTTATTATAAAACATGCTTTAGTTAAAGAGTTATTGATACTTCAAATGTAAAATGATGATATAAAACCTTGATAAAAATACACTTTTAAGTATTAATCACCCATGCATGAGGAGAGAGGAGAAATAAAGAAAAAGACCCTATAATATACTGAAACTCTAATTATAACATCAACGGTACAATCTAGAAAATTTTAATAAGACAAATCTAACGACACCAAGAAATGTTACTAACGATAACCCAAGTGTGTCACACTTATTGTTCAAAGATGGAAGGTAACTTATTTGTCTTTGACCGTATGTGTGGTTTACTCGGGTCACTGTTGATGACCTTCATTTGTATTGTTGAATTTGTCTTATTAAAATCTTTGTAATGGTACTAGTGATGTCGTAAATGGAGTTTTGATGTGTCTAAAATGCCTTTGTTTTTCTTTCTTTCCTTTTCTCTCTCCCTTTTGTATTGTAATCAGAGCTTCAACATGTTTTATATGTCTTTTTTTCCTCTCTTTTTTCTTTTTACAAATTACAATGAGGAGAGAGGAAAGAAAAAAAAAAGAAACTAGAGACACATCAAAACTCTGACTACGATACTACTAGTACCAAAAAAATTTTTTTGACGAGATGAATTCAATGACATAAAAGAAGGTCACTAATAGTGACATGAGTAGGTCACACTTATCAAGGCAAGTGAGCCACTTGCTATCTTTAAGCATCAAGTGTGGCATGCTTGGGTAACCGTTGATGACTTTTTTTAGTGTCGTTGAGTTTGTATTGTCAAGATCTTTTTTATGATACCAGTGATGTTGTACTCAGAGCTTCAATGTGTTTCTAGGGTATGCTTCTTTTTTTCCCCTCTATTCTCTCATCTCTTGTCATGTGCTCATTTCACTAGTTTTTTTTTTTTTTTAAATATCACGATTCTGAATAGCTATAAGTAAGAATGTAACGTTTCATTGTCGCTACACGTATAAGTTGTTCTATTTCACTAATTTTTTTTAAAACTGTGTTATTTTATTAATATTTAAATAAAATGTGCTAT